TGGTTCTCTTTTATCTCTTAGTATTCCTCCTCCTCCAATGAACTATGTTGGCTCAATGCACTCCAAGAGGGGGGGTGAATTTCTTCCTCTTTTCAACCACAATACAAAGAATTAAAGACAGTAAGGAAGAAAAGCTTGCTTAATGATTTTATAGATGTTTGTTCCTCCCCTACCTTGGCTTCACTAACCAAGGATTTTCTCCACACTCTCCACTATCAAGAACAAGGGTGGCTTAAAACAGCCACTCAATCCTTTTACAAGAAGATGAGCACTTCTCTCAAATCTCACCCCTTTACAAGATAAACCCAAACAATCCTCTCTACAAATCACTCTTGAAGAAATAATCACACTCCCAAGATCACGCACAAATACAATAAGAAGAGAATTACAAGTAATAATCATTTAAAGATTAAATACTCAAGTTAAAACACAAGTTGGTAGATAGAGATATTCAATACAATGCTCTCTAAACTTGTTCCAGATCTTCTACCAACCATAGTTATAACTCCATAATAAAAAATAACTGTTACTAGCTATTGGGGGTTATTTAATGCTCTCCAAGTCATGTGATTTTGAATTGCAGAATTGTTAGTACAATCGGCTTAAAGTATAAAGACAGCTCTTAATAGCCGACTTAGAATCCTACAGCTAGCTTTTCAGGTTTCCTACACATTCTGTTTTCTTTGTAGAGTTGGCTTAGATTCCTTAAGTCAGCTTTATGGGTTACTTGCACATTCTATTTTCTTGCACAACTGATTGCAAAATATAAAGCCGACTTTGGGATTTCGACTTTAAAAACATTCAATAGTCTTAAAAAAGTCAACGATTGTGCATTAAATATGCCATCATAGCTAGCTACCAAGTGAAAGCCAACTTTGCATCTATTTTTCGTGCGCGCCAAACTTCAGACTTAAAATTCACCCGTAAAGTTGGCTGCATATCTTAGAGCCAGCTCTCTGCACTATTTCCTCCCAAAGTCGACTATAGATTTATTTAAGCTGGCTCTCTGCACAATATCCAACCTTTTGGTCCATTTTTAGTTCAATCTTAGTTTGCTTACTTTGCAATCTTTTAGTAATTTAACTACACACTTAAATAAATCAATTAATCACTCAAATGTGTTTTGTAATCATCAAAATCATAGGTGCAACAAACTATCAGTTGCTAATCTTTGTCTC